CCCAGCCCCTGCTTGGCCCTTCCCAGCACCCCTGCTCCCCCAACCTCTTCTTAGTCCTCCCCCCCCAGCCCTCCTGCTCCCCCCTCAGCCCCAGCCCCTGCTTGGTCCTCTGCAGCATCCCTGACCCCCCCCCAACCTCTTCTTAGCCCCCCCTCCTTGCCCCCCCAGCCCCTGCTTGGCTCTTTGCAGCAACCCTTGACCCCCCCCCCCGGCCCCGCGCCCCCCTGGCCCCCCCCGCCCCCCCCCCGGCCCCCCCCGGGCCCGGCCCGGGGGGGCTGCCCCCCGGGGGCGGAGGGGGCGGGGATCTTCGGGGGGGGGGGGTCACTCGGCCCCTGCATTACTTACGGGACACGCTCCCCGACCAACCTTTGCTCCAGCTCGAGTGACTGACAGCGCTGGACGACAGCCAATGGGGGCTCGGCGGGCACGGGATGGGCGGAGCCAGAGGGAGACCAGACCAATCCGGAGGGACACCGAGGAGGAACGGGCTGGATAGGGCGTGGTCTCAGTGAGTCTGGACCAATCCAAGGAGAGTCCGAGGGGAAGGGGCGGGACGTGGGAGCATTGACCAATCCGAGGTGGCTCCACGGGTATGGGGCGGGGTTAGAGTGTCCCGGGCCAATCCAGGGAGGGTTCTCAGGGAAGGAGGTGGGGTCCTGGGAAGTGGGCGGGGCCTGAAGCAGGGCGGATCAGAGTACCCTATCCGGATGCTAAGGGCGGGGCCGTGCGCTTCAGACTAATTAAGGTCAGAGGGGGGCGGAGCTTCAATACTGCCGCGCCCGTGGCCAATCAGAGAGCGGGCCGGTGGTTGTGGCGCGTTTTGGGCGGGAAGCCGGGAGGGCGGTTGAGCGGCCGTTGGGCGCGCGCTGTGGCTGAGGGGGCGGGGCGGAGCGGAGCGGACCCGCCCCAGACGTTAGGGGGCGAGGGCTGAGAAGAGCAGGGGGCAAAGCCCCCGAACTAGGGGGGGGACCATGTGAACCCGTGTGGGGTCTGCCCCAGTCCCGCCAGGGGCCTGTGGGGGGGGTATCCCCCCCACCCCAGTACACCCCAAGGCTGACAGGGCTCCCCGGGGGCAGACACCCTGCTGCTACGGCTTGTGAAGGGAAATCTGCCCCCCCCAAGCTGCTGGGATTCCGTGAGGGGCCAACACGCGCTGCACACGGGTGTTGCCGGCCCAGAGGGCCCGAGGGGGCAACAGGGTTTGTTGCCCGGTGTGCGTCGCACCAATAGACGCACCAGGGTGGAGAAGCAAACCACGTTGATGGGAGATCTCGAAAAGGCCCTCAGGAGACCAGCATGTCTCAAATCAGAAGCGCAGCAAATCCAAGCAAGTTTCCCGTTTTCTATTCCAAGCTGTTTGTGGGCAAGCCTTTGTTCTGTTCCCCCCTACCCCTCCCTTCCCAACAGCAGTTACAGCAGGCGTTACCTTGTGGCGTGTTAGAAAAGTTCTCGTCTGCATGTTTATCTTTGGCCTTGCAAGCTAAGACGTAGTAGGCTTCTCCCACCCCCTTTTCCCCTTCTTATCACTACTGCTTCTGCTAGTAGGAGCGAAACTGCAGCTGTCTGCTAAAAAAGCTGACCGTTACATATTCTGCTTCGGCATTTACGCTGTTAGCATGGAGGCTGGTTAAAGTTCACAAGATGGAGTTACTGTGGCTCACTTAGACCCAGAGCAGGGGGGTTTCATCGGCACGTATGGCCTTCCACCCCCCCGAGTTACCTGCCTAGTGACACCAACAAGGGGGATCCAGGGGATATCATGTACTTAGATTTTCAGAAAGCCTGTGACGAGGTTCCTCAGCAAAGGCTCTTAAGCAAAGTAACCTGAGAAGAGGGAAGAATCATAGAATCTCAGGGTTGGAAGGGACCTCAGGAGATATCTAGTCCAATCCCCTGCTCAAAGCAGGGCCAATTCCCAACTAAATCATTCCAGCCAGGGCTTTGTCAAGCCGGGCCTTAAAAACCTCTAAGAATGGAGATTCCACCACCTCCCTAGGGAACCCATTCCAGTGCTTCACCACCCCCCTAGTGAAATAGTGTTTCCTAATATCCAACCTAGTGTGACGTTATTGATATAATCTGGGACCGTACAGATCATTGTTGCA